GCCCTGTCATCATCATGCCCTGTCACCACCACCGTGACCCTTAATATCGTCCTCATCCCCTTATCATCGCTCTATCATTCTCATTATACCCCTCCTCTTGCTGCCCTCTTTCCCCAAACCCTGCCTGAGCCTGAGGCGGCTGAAAACCACTTCAGATGGCCTTCCTGTGCTGCCAGCACACTTACAGTACACCCGTTGCCCATCCTCTGCCTCTCCAACTGCCCCCTCATGGCCTCCCCCGCACACCGCTGCTGAAGCTGAGAGATGTGCGGCAGCTGAGGCAACTGCTTCAGATGGCCTTTCTGTGCGGCGTGCACACTCACAGAGTGCCTTCCCGCCACCTCTCCACACTCGTCCCCACCACCTGCCCCACAAATCCCCACCCAGGAGCCGAGCACACCGGTGCTGAGGCCGAGAGATGTGGGGCGGCTGAGAGAACCACCGCAGGTAGCCGTAATCTCTGCAGGCTGCACACGCACTGTGTGCTCACATATTCCTCTCCACACCTTCTCGCCCCTCCCCCATCCCACCTTTCTCTCCCCCCCACTCCCCCAGGAGCCGAGCACGCCCCTGTTGAGGCTGAGAGATGTGGGGCGCCTGAGAAAACCGCTACAGGCGGCCTTTCTGTGCGGCCTGCACACTCACAGAGTGCCCCCCCGGGGGCATGGGCAGGGCGGGCAGGGGCTGGGGGGAGCGGGGGGCGGGGGGAGAGCCCGGGGAAAAAAGGGGGGGAAGCGGTATGAGGGGGACCGTGGGGCTTGGGAGGCGTTCTCTTGGACCCCGCCCAAAGGGAAGAAAGGGGGCGGGGGCGGGGGCGGGGGAGGGGGAGGGGGAGGGGCAGGGGGAGGCGGAGGAGGAGGAGGGGGAGAGGGAGGGGAAGGGGGAGGGCAGCAGGCAGCAGGGCCGTGGAGGCAGGAGGGGCAGGTGCTGACGAATTCAGAGATGAAGGGGTGGGAGGCGGTGCGGTGCGATGTGGTGAGCCGCGAGTGGGAGGAGGCGGGGCGCTCTGTGGTGGGCGGGAGGAAGCGGAGCAAGAGGCGGGCGCGGGGGGAGGTGCGGGTGCCTATAGTGATGGTGGTGGGGGGCGTGAACACTGGCAAGTCAACATTTGCTAAGTTCCTTGTCAACCATATGCTGGGCAGGTATGGGTGGGTGGTCAACCATATGCTGCTCTGCATCTTATGAGCGACTGACCTCTACGATGTGAACTGTGTCCGGGCATGCATGTGTTGGTGCATGCATGTGTTGGTGCATGCATGTGTTGGTGCATGCATGTGTTGGGGCATGCATGTGTTGGTGCATGCATGTGTTGGTGCATGCATGTGTTGGGGCATGCATGTGTTGGTGCATGCATGTGTTGGGGCATGCATGTGTTGGTGCATGCATGTGTTGGTGCATGCATGTGTTGGTGCATGCATGTGTTGGTGCATGCATGTGTTGGTGCATGCATGTGTTGGGGCATGCATGTGTTGGTGCATGCATGTGTTGGGGCATGCATGTGTTGGTGCATGCATGTGTTGGTGCATGCATGTGTTGGGGCATGCATGTGTTGGGGCATGCATGTGTTGGTGCATGCATGTGTTGGTGCATGCATGTGTTGGGGCATGCATGTGTTGGTGCATGCATGTGTTGGTGCATGCATGTGTTGGTGCATGCATGTGTTGGGGCATGCATGTGTTGGTGCATGCATGTGTTGGTGCATGCATGTGTTGGTGCATGCATGTGCTGGTGCATGCATGTGTTGGTGCATGCATGTGTTGGTGCATGCATGTGTTGGTGCATGCATGTGCTGGTGCATGCATGTGTTGGTGCATGCATGTGTTGGTGCATGCATGTGTTGGTGCATGCATGTGCTGGTGCATGCATGTGTTGGTGCATGCATGTGTTGGGGCATGCATGTGTTGGTGCATGCATGTGTTGGTGCATGCATGTGTTGGGGCATGCATGTGTTGGTGCATGCATGTGTTGGGGCATGCATGTGTTGGGGCATGCATGTGTTGGTGCATGCATGTGTTGGTGCATGCATGTGTTGGTGCATGCATGTGTTGGGGCATGCATGTGTTGGTGCATGCATGTGTTGGGGCATGCATGTGTTGGGGCATGCATGTGTTGGTGCATGCATGTGTTGGTGCATGCATGTGTTGGTGCATGCATGTGTTGGTGCATGCATGTGTTGGTGCATGCATGTGTTGGTGCATGCATGTGTTGGTGCATGCATGTGTTGGTGCATGCATGTGTTGGTGCATGCATGTGTTGGTGCATGCATGTGTTGGTGCATGCATGTGTTGGTGCATGCATGTGTTGGGGCATGCATGTGTTGGTGCATGCATGTGTTGGGGCATGCATGTGTTGGTGCATGCATGTGTTGGTGCATGCATGTGTTGGTGCATGCATGTGTTGGTGCATGCATGTGTTGGTGCATGCATGTGTTGGGGCATGCATGTGTTGGTGCATGCATGTGTTGGTGCATGCATGTGTTGGTGCATGCATGTGTTGGTGCATGCATGTGTTGGTGCATGCATGTGTTGGTGCATGCATGTGTTGGTGCATGCATGTGTTGGTGCATGCATGTGTTGGTGCATGCATGTGTTGGTGCATGCATGTGTTGGTGCATGCATGTGTTGGTGCATGCATGTGTTGGTGCATGCATGTGTTGGGGCATGCATGTGTTGGGGCATGCATGTGTTGGTGCATGCATGTGTTGGTGCATGCATGTGTTGGTGCATGCATGTGTTGGTGCATGCATGTGTTGGTGCATGCATGTGTTGGGGCATGCATGTGTTGGTGCATGCATGTGTTGGTGCATGCATGTGTTGGGGCATGCATGTGTTGGTGCATGCATGTGTTGGTGCATGCATGTGTTGGTGCATGCATGTGTTGGGGCATGCATGTGTTGGTGCATGCATGTGTTGGTGCATGCATGTGTTGGTGCATGCATGTGCTGGTGCATGCATGTGTTGGTGCATGCATGTGTTGGTGCATGCATGTGTTGGTGCATGCATGTGCTGGTGCATGCATGTGTTGGTGCATGCATGTGTTGGTGCATGCATGTGTTGGTGCATGCATGTGCTGGTGCATGCATGTGTTGGTGCATGCATGTGTTGGGGCATGCATGTGTTGGTGCATGCATGTGTTGGTGCATGCATGTGTTGGGGCATGCATGTGTTGGTGCATGCATGTGTTGGGGCATGCATGTGTTGGGGCATGCATGTGTTGGTGCATGCATGTGTTGGTGCATGCATGTGTTGGTGCATGCATGTGTTGGGGCATGCATGTGTTGGTGCATGCATGTGTTGGGGCATGCATGTGTTGGGGCATGCATGTGTTGGTGCATGCATGTGTTGGTGCATGCATGTGTTGGTGCATGCATGTGTTGGTGCATGCATGTGTTGGTGCATGCATGTGTTGGTGCATGCATGTGTTGGTGCATGCATGTGTTGGGGCATGCATGTGTTGGTGCATGCATGTGTTGGTGCATGCATGTGTTGGGGCATGCATGTGTTGGTGCATGCATGTGTTGGGGCATGCATGTGTTGGTGCATGCATGTGTTGGTGCATGCATGTGTTGGTGCATGCATGTGTTGGTGCATGCATGTGTTGGTGCATGCATGTGTTGGGGCATGCATGTGTTGGTGCATGCATGTGTTGGTGCATGCATGTGTTGGTGCATGCATGTGTTGGTGCATGCATGTGTTGGTGCATGCATGTGTTGGTGCATGCATGTGTTGGTGCATGCATGTGTTGGTGCATGCATGTGTTGGTGCATGCATGTGTTGGTGCATGCATGTGTTGGTGCATGCATGTGTTGGTGCATGCATGTGTTGGTGCATGCATGTGTTGGTGCATGCATGTGCTGGTGCATGCATGTGTTGGGGCATGCATGTGTTGGTGCATGCATGTGTTGGTGCATGCATGTGTTGGTGCATGCATGTGTTGGTGCATGCATGTGTTGGTGCATGCATGTGTTGGGGCATGCATGTGTTGGGGCATGCATGTGTTGGTGCATGCATGTGTTGGGGCATGCATGTGTTGGTGCATGCATGTGTTGGGGCATGCATGTGTTGGTGCATGCATGTGTTGGTGCATGCATGTGTTGGGGCATGCATGTGTTGGTGCATGCATGTGTTGGGGCATGCATGTGTTGGTGCATGCATGTGTTGGTGCATGCATGTGTTGGGGCATGCATGTGTTGGGGCATGCATGTGTTGGTGCATGCATGTGTTGGGGCATGCATGTGTTGGTGCATGCATGTGTTGGTGCATGCATGTGTTGGTGCATGCATGTGTTGGTGCATGCATGTGTTGGTGCATGCATGTGTTGGGGCATGCATGTGTTGGTGCATGCATGTGTTGGTGCATGCATGTGTTGGTGCATGCATGTGCTGGTGCATGCATGTGTTGGTGCATGCATGTGTTGGTGCATGCATGTGTTGGTGCATGCATGTGCTGGTGCATGCATGTGTTGGTGCATGCATGTGTTGGTGCATGCATGTGTTGGTGCATGCATGTGCTGGTGCATGCATGTGTTGGTGCATGCATGTGTTGGTGCATGCATGTGTTGGTGCATGCATGTGCTGGTGCATGCATGTGTTGGTGCATGCATGTGTTGGTGCATGCATGTGTTGGTGCATGCATGTGTTGGGGCATGCATGTGTTGGTGCATGCATGTGTTGGGGCATGCATGTGTTGGTGCATGCATGTGTTGGTGCATGCATGTGTTGGTGCATGCATGTGTTGGTGCATGCATGTGTTGGTGCATGCATGTGTTGGGGCATGCATGTGTTGGTGCATGCATGTGTTGGTGCATGCATGTGTTGGTGCATGCATGTGCTGGTGCATGCATGTGTTGGTGCATGCATGTGTTGGTGCATGCATGTGTTGGTGCATGCATGTGCTGGTGCATGCATGTGTTGGTGCATGCATGTGTTGGTGCATGCATGTGTTGGTGCATGCATGTGCTGGTGCATGCATGTGTTGGTGCATGCATGTGTTGGGGCATGCATGTGTTGGTGCATGCATGTGTTGGTGCATGCATGTGTTGGGGCATGCATGTGTTGGTGCATGCATGTGTTGGGGCATGCATGTGTTGGGGCATGCATGTGTTGGTGCATGCATGTGTTGGTGCATGCATGTGTTGGTGCATGCATGTGTTGGGGCATGCATGTGTTGGTGCATGCATGTGTTGGGGCATGCATGTGTTGGGGCATGCATGTGTTGGTGCATGCATGTGTTGGTGCATGCATGTGTTGGTGCATGCATGTGTTGGTGCATGCATGTGTTGGTGCATGCATGTGTTGGTGCATGCATGTGTTGGTGCATGCATGTGTTGGGGCATGCATGTGTTGGTGCATGCATGTGTTGGTGCATGCATGTGTTGGGGCATGCATGTGTTGGTGCATGCATGTGTTGGGGCATGCATGTGTTGGTGCATGCATGTGTTGGTGCATGCATGTGTTGGTGCATGCATGTGTTGGTGCATGCATGTGTTGGTGCATGCATGTGTTGGTGCATGCATGTGTTGGTGCATGCATGTGTTGGTGCATGCATGTGTTGGTGCATGCATGTGTTGGTGCATGCATGTGTTGGTGCATGCATGTGTTGGTGCATGCATGTGTTGGTGCATGCATGTGTTGGGGCATGCATGTGTTGGGGCATGCATGTGTTGGGGCATGCATGTGTTGGTGCATGCATGTGTTGGATGCATTGGGGCATGCATGTGTTGGTGCATGCATGTGTTGGTGCATGCATGTGTTGGTGCATGCATGTGTTGGTGCATGCATGTGTTGGTGCATGCATGTGTTGGTGCATGCATGTGTTGGTGCATGCATGTGTTGGTGCATGCATGTGTTGGTGCATGCATGTGTTGGTGCATGCATGTGTTGGTGCATGCATGTGTTGGTGCATGCATGTGTTGGTGCATGCATGTGTTGGTGCATGCATGTGTTGGGGCATGCATGTGTTGGGGCATGCATGTGTTGGTGCATGCATGTGTTGGTGCATGCATGTGTTGGTGCATGCATGTGTTGGTGCATGCATGTGTTGGTGCATGCATGTGTTGGGGCATGCATGTGTTGGTGCATGCATGTGTTGGTGCATGCATGTGTTGGGGCATGCATGTGTTGGTGCATGCATGTGTTGGTGCATGCATGTGTTGGTGCATGCATGTGTTGGGGCATGCATGTGTTGGTGCATGCATGTGTTGGTGCATGCATGTGTTGGTGCATGCATGTGCTGGTGCATGCATGTGTTGGTGCATGCATGTGTTGGTGCATGCATGTGTTGGTGCATGCATGTGTTGGTGCATGCATGTGTTGGTGCATGCATGTGCTGGTGCATGCATGTGTTGGTGCATGCATGTGTTGGTGCATGCATGTGTTGGTGCATGCATGTGCTGGTGCATGCATGTGTTGGTGCATGCATGTGTTGGGGCATGCATGTGTTGGTGCATGCATGTGTTGGTGCATGCATGTGTTGGGGCATGCATGTGTTGGTGCATGCATGTGTTGGGGCATGCATGTGTTGGGGCATGCATGTGTTGGTGCATGCATGTGTTGGTGCATGCATGTGTTGGTGCATGCATGTGTTGGGGCATGCATGTGTTGGTGCATGCATGTGTTGGGGCATGCATGTGTTGGGGCATGCATGTGTTGGTGCATGCATGTGTTGGTGCATGCATGTGTTGGTGCATGCATGTGTTGGTGCATGCATGTGTTGGTGCATGCATGTGTTGGTGCATGCATGTGTTGGTGCATGCATGTGTTGGGGCATGCATGTGTTGGTGCATGCATGTGTTGGTGCATGCATGTGTTGGGGCATGCATGTGTTGGTGCATGCATGTGTTGGGGCATGCATGTGTTGGTGCATGCATGTGTTGGTGCATGCATGTGTTGGTGCATGCATGTGTTGGTGCATGCATGTGTTGGTGCATGCATGTGTTGGTGCATGCATGTGTTGGTGCATGCATGTGTTGGTGCATGCATGTGTTGGTGCATGCATGTGTTGGTGCATGCATGTGTTGGTGCATGCATGTGTTGGTGCATGCATGTGTTGGTGCATGCATGTGTTGGTGCATGCATGTGTTGGTGCATGCATGTGTTGGTGCATGCATGTGTTGGTGCATGCATGTGTTGGTGCATGCATGTGTTGGTGCATGCATGTGTTGGTGCATGCATGTGTTGGTGCATGCATGTGTTGGTGCATGCATGTGTTGGGGCATGCATGTGTTGGGGCATGCATGTGTTGGTGCATGCATGTGTTGGTGCATGCATGTGTTGGTGCATGCATGTGTTGGTGCATGCATGTGTTGGTGCATGCATGTGTTGGGGCATGCATGTGTTGGGGCATGCATGTGTTGGTGCATGCATGTGTTGGGGCATGCATGTGTTGGTGCATGCATGTGTTGGGGCATGCATGTGTTGGTGCATGCATGTGTTGGTGCATGCATGTGTTGGGGCATGCATGTGTTGGTGCATGCATGTGTTGGGGCATGCATGTGTTGGTGCATGCATGTGTTGGTGCATGCATGTGTTGGGGCATGCATGTGTTGGTGCATGCATGTGTTGGGGCATGCATGTGTTGGTGCATGCATGTGTTGGTGCATGCATGTGTTGGTGCATGGCAGCACATTCACTCCCTGCCTCCTCTAGACATCTGCCACCCCGTTCTGCCCATTCCCACCATTCCGCTCTCTCCTCTTCCCCTTCACCTTCCCAACCCCCCCTCGCCAGGCACCCCTGTGTGGCTTTCCTGGACACGGACGTGGGTCAGCCTGAGTTCACTCCGCCCGGCCTTGTCTCACTGCACCTCCTCTCCCACCCCGTCTTCGGTAGGTACTTCTCCTCTCCTCTCCGCCACCTCCTCTCCATCCCTTCTTCTCCCAGAAACCCCTCCTCTCAAAACCCCCTCCACTCCCCCACCCCACCTTAAACTCCTCTCTGTAAGGCGAAATCAGCCCATCTTCTCCTCCTTACCTGCCGCCTCCGTTTTCCCTGCCCCCCACTGCCTTCCATTTCCATCACACACTACAGGCCACACAGCTTTGCACCAGCGCACGCCCCTGGCAAGCCACCTGTATGGGGCCATCAGCCCTCCCTGTCCCCAACATCCCATCACCTGCGTGGACGACCCCATGCTCTACCTGCTGCTTGCCCCTCCTTTCCCCCCCACACTACAGGCCACCCTGCACTCCACCAAAGGACCCCCCTAGCAATCTACATCAGCGCGCCCTCCCCTCCCTACCCCCCCCCCCCCACCCCCGTTCCCCCTGCCCCCTTATTACGTTCCCACGGTCCCCACGCACCACAGGCCACCCTGCGCTCCACCAGCGCACCCCCGTTGCAAGCCACCTGTATGGCGACATCAGCCCCGGCAGCGACCCAGCGCTGTACCTGCGGCAGATCTTCTCTCTCTACGACTGCTTCAGACAGAACTACTACGATGGGCATGGAGCAGCGGCAATACCACTGGTGATCAACACACACGGATGGATCAAGGGTGAGTGACCAACGGTGCTAGGATCCTGCGCGACCTGACCCCGCACTGTACCTGCGGCAGTTCTTCTCTCTCGACAACTGCTTTAAAGACGGGCACAGGGCAACGATCAGCACACAGGTGGATCAAAGGTGAGTCAATCACGCTCTGCCTGACCCCACGCTCTGCCTGACCCCACGCTCTGCCTGACCCCACGCTCTGCCTGACCCCACGCTCTGCCTGACCCCACGCTCTGCCTGACCCCACGCTCTGCCTGACCCCACGCTCTGCCTGACCCCACGCTCTGCCTGACCCCACGCTCTGCCTGACCCCACGCTCTGCCTGACCCCACGCTCTGCCTGACCCCACGCTCTGCCTGACCCCACGCTCTGCCTGACCCCACGCTCTGCCTGACCCCACGCTCTGCCTGACCCCACGCTCTGCCTGACCCCACGCTCTTCCTTCCCTGCCGTCCTCCCCTGCCTCCCTGCCCTTCCCTCCACACACGTCATCTCTGTACAAACCCGCCCCATTCCCCCCTGCTTCCTCCCTGCCTCCCTCCCCGCTCCCCGTGCAATACAGGAGCCGGAGACTAAGCTCCGTTTGGAATCGGAGACGTTGATCTCATACGCTACACGGCTCCCACACTCGCCATCTCTTTCCAAACCCTGTCCCCCTTGCTTCCTTCCTCCTGCCCCCTCCCCATACCATACAGGCATGGGGTACGACGCCCTGGTTGATCTGATTCGCCACGTGGCGCCCACACACGTCATCTCGCTGCTTGCACCCGATGCAGCAGACAACCTGCCTGGGGGGCACTTCTGGCAGCCGGGGGGGTTCGCCCCCGAGGATATCAACCCAAGGCTACACACTTCTCTACTTAACCCCTTCTATGTTTCCCCCCTCCGCTCCCCCTCCCATCCAAACCTCTCCGCCCATCTCCCAGGCATAGGGTACGACGCTTTAGTGGATCTGATGCGCTACGTGGCGCCCACACACGTCATCTCTCTGCTCGCCCCTGATGCAGCGGACAACCTGCCTGGGGGGCACTTCTGGCAGCCGGGGGGGTTTGCTCCCGAGGATATCAACCCCAATATGACGCCCCTGGGGGGCGTGGGGGGCGGTGGCAAGGGCGCCGGGGGGATGGCGGAGGAGTGGGATGGGGAGGGGGAAGGGGGGGATGTGGGGAGTGGGGGTGGAGATGGGGGGATGAGAGTGGGGGAGGAAGGGGGACAAGCTGGGGGGGGGGGTTTCGAGGGAGGAGGACAGAACGGGGGAGGAGAGGGTGTGGGAACAGCTGCAGCAGGGCAGGGGGCAGCAGGGGCAGTAGCAGCAGTGCGCACATCATTGATCACAATTACATCGCTGTCTGCCAGCGCTGGTCCCGGCGTGAGGTGAGTGAGGAGGGGTTGAGCGGATGGGTGATGACCTGGGAGGGTAGTCTTGAGGCGGCTCGGAGGTCATCCCTCCTCATCCTCCCCTCGCCATCCCCGTCCCCCTCCCCATGCCCCCCTCCCTCCCACTCTGCGCCCTGTCCCCTCTCCCCCTTCTTCTCCCCTCCCCATTCCCCTCCCCTCCCACCCTCCATCCCACTTCCCCTCCTCCTCCCCCTCTCCCTCCGCCCTCCCCCTTCCCCTCCCCCTCCCTCCTCCCCTCCCCCTCACCCTCCGCCCTCTCCCTCCGCCCTCCCCCTGCCCCCCCACAGCAACTCCTTCCGAGTGGCACACGAGCATCGCAGCCTGCGGGTGCTGGCGGCAATCCGCTACGCCCTCTCCCCCGCCCGCCGCCTCGCCCTCTACAAGCTCGCCCGCCACATTCCCCCCCACCCCGCCCCACCCACCGCCACCGCCCCCTTTTTCACCACCCTTCCCTCTTCCTCCGCCGCTCCTGCTGCTTCCTGCCCTCCCGCACGCCCCTCGCCCGCCCTTCCCGCGCCCATCTTCCTGTTCCCGTTTGACGAGCGCTGGGAGATGGCTCGCTGTGCGCGCCTGCTGGCGTGGCGGGCGCCCTTTGAAGTGGATTTAGGGGAGCTCCATGTGGGCTGCGCGCATGGCGAGGTGAGGAGGAGAGGATAGATGAGCGCATGGGGAGGCGAGTGCACATCCCAATCAGCCCATCAACTCTCGTCACGCCTCAGTTCTGTCATGCATATCAATCCGGGGTGGAGCACAGGTCGCGGTCAGTCAGCATGTGAAGAGCGAGGCGAGTCACACCCATGTCAACTCCCCTTGTGACTATTTTTTAGTTGACTCGAGAAGCGAAGAGAGTCACACCCACATCAACTCCTCTTGTGCCTCCCACATTGCATCCTCTACTGGCCATTCCCTCGACACTCTCTCCACACACTCCCCTGAACCCTCCGTCTCCTCCCCTTTCCCCATTCCACCCCGCTTTCCACCCCTTCTCATGCCCACGCCCTCCCCCCTCCCTCCTCCTGCCCCTCTCCTCTGCAGCTCTCCCCCGCCAACACACTCATCACCCTCAACGCCGCTATCGTCGGCCTCTGCTCCTCCTCCCCTCCCCCTCTCCCCTCCATGCCACCTCCGCCCTCCCTGCCCGTTGACCCCTCCGCCTCTGCTCATGCTGCCGCTACTCCAACAGCAGCGGCGCCACCAGCACCACAGCCAGAAGCAGCAGAAGCAGCAACTGATGCAGCAGCAGCAGAGATGGACATAGCAACAGACCCAGCCGCAGCAGCAGAGAACAACACAGCAGCAGTGCCAGGAGCAGAAGCAGGAACAGCAGCAGGGGCAGCGCCAGGCTTCCCACATGTGGTGTGGAACCCTCAAGAAGCCGCTCTCCTGCCCTGCCTCTCCTTTGGTACTGCCCCGCCATCTGCTCTCACACTCTCCACCACTCCCCCCTTCATATCACACCGTGCTATGCACTGGCAACGTTCCCCTCGTTTCCTTCATGGATAGATGCTATTCTCCTTGCACTCTCACCATATCTGTCTGTGACGATATCTATGACCTGTCTCATCATCCCTGCCAACAGGTGTGGTGAGGGGCGTGGATGCCAGCAGGGGCGTGGCACATGTGGTGGCGCCACTACCGCTCGCCCGCATGCATCACGTTGACACGCTTCTCATCTCGCACCTCCACCTGCCCTCGCCGCTGCTCCTGGTGAGTTCTTGAGCTATCTCCCTCATTCTGCACCTCCACGTGCCCTTGCCCCTCCTCCTAGTGTGACCGTACCTCTGCTCCCACCCACTCGCCGATGCAAACTTCTCAATCTCTTCTCCCCTTTCTCCTCCTCTTCTACCCCTCCCCCCCTCGGACTCCGTCTCTAGCGACCTGGTGTCACCAAACCTCTGCTTCCACTCGCTCGCTGATGGCACTCCCAACTTGTGCTCCCTTCTCTCCTTCCCTTCCCTCCCCTCCTCGCCTCCCCCCCCCAGTGCAACGACCTGGTCTCGCCGTACCTCTGCTTCCACTCGCTCGCCGATGCCACTTTGGGCGCCAAGGAGCTGCCCATCAGAGAGGTCAAGCGGTGAAGAAAGGTGATGTGCAGTATGGGGTGCTGAAGTGCGACGGTGACAGGCGCATTGGCGTTATGAGAGACCGATATAGCATTGGTGGTTATGGATGGATGGATATTGTTAAGGGTGTGATGTCTTGCTTTGCTACCTGCATACGGTATGTCCATTCTGGCCATAAGCCAGGCGTGATGTTTCTTTGCAGAAAGGAAAAAGACAGGCCTTTCAATCACATTACTGGTAGTCTGGTTTATAATGAATGGTCACATTCACAATTCACATCCTGGACTAATAAAATATACATACGGCAGTTTGAGTGATATGCAATGCTCAAATCCACCAGCACGCAGCAAGGAGCGAACGGCAAGTAAAGCGGCACCCCACCCAGCAAGAATCAAGCTCCTTGGTGGGCGCCTCATCGTCCTTGCAGCAAGTGCAACGTTACAACTTACAGATCCAGTCAGCCACAATCCAGAGGAGATCCAGTCACACGCCTGTAGTAGACGTAGACGCCCTCCGAGACACCTCAAACAGCGAGCACAACAGGACGCCAACCCCTTGGTGGGAGTTTCATCATCCCTTGCAGCCAGAGCGATGTTGGAAATACAGCACACACCAGTGGACCCTCAACTTGTCAGCAGCTCCCAAGATGCCTGTAGACGACTTTCTACGCAACGCAAAAGGCGAGCCCTACGAAGCCAGCCCCTTGGTGGGAGTTTCATCATCCCTGGCAGCCAGAGCTATGTTGGAGATCCAGCACACTCCAGTGGACCCTGAACTCGTCAGCAGCTCCCACTCCCCCACCTCCATCCCTACCCCCCTCCCCGCCTCCCTTCTCCCCCTCCCTCCCACCCCATCCTGCCCGCTCTCACTCCCCACCTCCTCTCCCTCCTCCCCTGCTCCCCTCTCCTCCCCCTCCTCATCCCCTTCAGCCACCTCAGAGAGCGAAGGCCCCACGTCAATGCTGCTGTTCACCGTGTCCTTATCGTCCTCCTCACTCTCGTGCGTGCTTATATCAGAAGCAGTCGACCCTCCTACAATCACCACACTGTCACTCAACGCCCCCTGCTTCCCCCCACTCCTGCCGTCCGAACCGTCCCCACCTTCCTCCCCTTCCCCCTCTTCCTCCCCCTCCTCCACCACACCACCCAGCCCACCCCGTCTGCTCGCCTGTAGCCCTGCTACAGCTGCTACAGCCGCCGCCGCCACAGCAGCAGCCTCGGTCTCGGATCCAGCCGCAACTACAGCCGCGGCAAAACTGGCTGACACCGTTTGTCTGGATCCCACCAACCCTGCATCCTCACCATCAAGACTCTCAGGCTCGTTCGCAGGAGTGGGGGGTGGGGGCGGGGGTGGGGGCAGCGGCGGTAGGCTGGCGTGGTGGTGCAAGTGGTGAGAATCATGGTGGAGGCGGCTGGGATGGGTGTAGAGCGGTGCAGCGCGGCGCTGCGACCAGGAGTAGCCGCAGAAATCGACAGCAACGACGGTGACAGGGGCGAGACGCTCCACGCTGGCTGCTACGGCGTCGCCATGTGTCACGCATAGGATGCTGTCGCTGGGGAAGAGCGCTGCCACGTCATCAAAGGCCTGCATGAAGCGCTCTCGTGCACTCTCGAGAGATTCCGGGAAGATGGGGAACTGGTGGTGGGCGAGGGGAGGAGGGGATGGGCAAAAAAAAGAAGGTTAAAGAGAACAGGAAAGTATTAAGCGGTTGCGCACTCTCGAGGGACATGCGGAAGAGGGTGTATTGGCGGAAGGGAAGGAAGATGTGATTGTACGAGTACGTATGTGCGAGTGCATTTGCGTGCGAATGGTGTGTTCGTGTGATTGTTTCCTTTTGCAATTCTCGTTTGATGCATTTGCAGCTACTTGTACAATGTGCGTTTCGGCGTAACATTGTACACACTATGAACAGTATAAGCAGAAAGGAAGAGCTCGCAAAGAAACCCAAGATGAAAGCTTCGCAAGTTGCTATGGTTTATTACGCAGATTCAATTTAAATTAACTTGAAATTGTACTGTTTGTTCCTATAGTGTAGCAGGGTAGGCATCATAGGAGTACAATCAGGTGAAGGTTGCATGTTGTTTGTCTGTTTCTGGATGCTACAGGGCCAGAAAAAAACAGGAGCCAAAATATGCCTGGTTGCACTATGAGAGAAGGAGGGAAAGGCAAGGACGTAAATCGCCCATTCCAATCATTGTAGAAGGTGTGTGAAGGTCGACTAAAGGTTCAAACCTGGGCAAGCTCAAACCATGGTTGGGCCAGCGCGCACACAAGACACCAGGGTACAACGGTGTGAGCGGGCACTCTCACCTCAGCATGGAAGAGATGGTGAGCAAGCATGCATGGCTGTGTATGACACAGTGGTGTGGGCATGCAAGCTCACCTCAGAATGCACACTCCTGCCTGCCCTCCCCTCTCCAGAGGCAGCAGCAGCAGCAGCAGCAGCACTACCGGCACTAGCAGCAGCAAATGGCAAGAAGGTAGTGCCGGGGGGAAAGAGCGCCTTCAAATCGCCCTCCTCCAGCACCCACCCCTTGCTGCATGCCTCTGCTGCTGCCGCCTCCACCGCTGCCGCCAGCCCTGCATGCTCCGCCATGCTGCTGTGTGGAATGGACGCTGCTGGTGGGCGCTCCTCTGTGCACCGCCGCAGGGCACGCGTGTTCATCACCTCCGCCAGGGCGGGGCTGAAGGATACCTGCGGGGACATGGGAAAAAGGGGAAGGGCGGAGGGGAAGAGAGGGGGGGGGAAGGGGGGGAAGGGTGGAGGGGAAGGAGGGGGAAAGGGGGGGAAGGGTGGAGGGGGAGGGAACCTGTGTTGGGCGGGGCGGGGCTGAAGGACATTCAAAGCGTGCACAGCAGCCGCCACAACCTCAGCCAGGGCGGGGCTGAATGACACCTGGGAGCGGACCAAGAGGAGAGGAAAATGTGCGTTGGGCAAAGGCGAATGGCAGCTGGGGGGAGCAGGGAGCAGGCAGCAGGGAGCAGGTGAGACTGTGCATACACAAGCTCGCTTCAGCCAGGGCGCGGCTGAATGACACCTGGAGGGACAGGAGAAAGGGGGGAAGGGTGAAGGGGAAAGGGGGGAAGGGTGAAGGGGAAAGGGGGGAAGGGTGGAGGGGAAAGGGGGGAAGGGTGGAGGGGAAAGGGGGGAAGGGTGGAGGGGAAAGGGGGAAAGGGTGGAGGGGAAAGGGGGGAAGGGTGGAGGGGAAAGGGGGGAAGGGTGGAGGGGAAAGGGGGGAAGGGTGGAGGGGAAAGGGGGGAAGGGTGGAGGGGAAAGGGGGGAAGGGTGGAGGGGAAAGGGGGGAAGGGTGGAGGGGAAAGGGGGGAAGGGTGGAATGGAAAGGGGGGAAGGGTGGAGGGGAAGGGAACCTGTGTTGGGCGTTGACCCCCGCAGGGCTCGCGTGTTGATCACTTCTGCCAGGGCGGGGCTGAATGACACCTGAGGGCGGACGGGCGAAGGGAATGGAGGGGGGGAGGGGGGAATGGGACGGGAGGGGAGGGGAGGGGAAGGGAGGGGAGAGAAGGGAGGGGAAGGGAGGGGAGAGAAGGGAGGGGAAGGGAGGGGAGGAAATGTGTGCTACGCAGGTCGAAAGAACACTAAATTGAAGGAGCATGGAGAAGCGAGGAGGGGGGTGAGATGGAAAAGGAAAGAGGAGGACGAAGGAGGGAGATGGAGCATGTAAAGCGAGGAGAGTGGTTGTTATGGCAGGAGTAGGGGCGCAGGGAGGCAGGAAGGAAGAGGAGCAATGAGAGAAATATGGAGAGTTAGAGGACACAACAGAGGAGAGAGAAGGGAAAAGCGAGAGAATGGAAGAGAGGGACGAGGCGATGGGGGACGGGGGGGAAAGGGGGGAGGAATGCAGGAGGGAGATGGCTCAGCGCCTCACCGTGACAGCGACGCCCCAAGGCGGAAATTGCGCCAGTCCCTCCGCCGTTCCACCTGTCACTGCCCCCTCGCCTCCGCTGCCCGCCTTCCCCCCTTCCCCTTCCCCCGTCCCCTTCTCCCCCTCCGCACCTTCCCCCGTGCGCGCGCCCAGCAGCCCCGCCACGATGTGAACGGCCGTCTGCACACACCGGCGGAACGGCGACACCACCACCCGCACCACAGCTCCCGACCCCGAACCCTCGCCCTCGGCCCCACTCTCGCCCTCCCTCGCGCCCTCCTGCTGCCCCTTTGCCTGCTGACCATCCACCGCTGCCTTCCCCTCGTCGCCAGCCTTCCCCACGCCGCCCCCCCGCGCGCTGCTCCTTGCCGCGCCGAAGCCGCGCGCTCTGAGCGCCTGCCCGACCTCCTCCGCCGCCTTGGCGCCTCGCGCGGACAGCGGCGGGTCCCAGGGTCGGTCCGAGCCTGCCGCCCAGCCGTCGTCCTGCTCGTCGATAGGCTCGGCGTGCCGAACCACGACGAGCGTCTGAACGGTGGCGGGAGCGGGGTAGCTTGCGCCTGCCCCGCCGAACCTGCTCCCCCCTGCTTCCCGCTCCGCCACGCCCACCGACTGCCCCCCTGCTGGCTTCTCCCCGGGGCTGGAAAACAACGCCTTGCTCGATATACCGAGTCTGCTTGTAACGAGGCCTGATCCCGCTAAGTCCGCCATAGGCTGGTCAGAGGTGAAGGAAGGCGCGGGCGACATGTGATAAGGCGGAATCGACGAGCACGTCGAGAATTGATCCAGCGACATTATGCTTCCCGTCGGGCTGCCGAGCGTGGCCGCCACGCTGCTGTCTTGGCTCGTCGTCCGAACCAGGTGGCCCGGCGGGAAATCCACCCGAACCTGCGGTAGGGTCGGTAAGAAGAGCCCGTCCTGAGGAACGGAGCCGGCGGTGAAAGCGCCGAACGTGCTTCCGATGCTGCTTATAACGGGGATGTCTGCTTCGGGGATGGAATGTGCGGCAGATTTGAGACCCCCGCACGGGACAATGGGATGTCGAATCCCTACATCTCCAGGCTTCGCTGCTGCTTCTAGCGAGTCTGCTTCTACCGGATCCCGCAGTTCTGTCGACGCTTGCTTGCCGCGATTGGCTGGATCGAGTGATGCGGAAGCGTCAGGGTTGACTCCCGCGGAAGCGGCGGGGGGGTCTCCCGCGGGGATCGGCGCTGTGCCCGCGTCCTGTTCGTCGCCTGCGACTCCTGCGGCTGCTGCGGATCCTGCTTGCGACATCGTCGCGGCGCAACGAGGTCCGAGGTGTGAGGACGGAGGGTCAAATATTGAAACGACAGCCTACGCAGTGGTTGCAAGAGCACAGGTGATGACTGGGAATGGGACGAGGTGACATGTGCAAGCAGGGTGGAGGAGATTTCAGGAATGCGCAATGACAAATCACCAACAGGCGATGATGATCCCAGAGAAGATGGGCAACCCTAGGCCAGAATCGGAGAGAATTGCTCCAGTGCCTTGTTTGGTGATTCGCTCTTGCCCGCGTGTCCCCGAATTGCTCGAGTGGCCATCCAATTCAGTGATAATTGCTCGAGTGGCCATGCCAGGGCATTTTCGATGTGTTTTTTTTCCCTGGCACATAACCCTACAAGGGTTCGTACCCACGAAATTCCTCGTTCGCACAACAGTAGATGCGCGGTCATTTTCGGCCCAATGCGCGACCAATGAGCGCGCGGGCAATTACATCAGCGATCATAAACTGCAACGCCAGAGCATAAATGCACGAACATATTATTGACCACGCACGATTGGTCGATAATATGTTTCTTGCCCTTTTTGGCAATGCGCGTCCAATCATGCACGACCATATATTTAGGCGATAAAGCTTCGCCCAACAACCAATATGAGCGCGCATATACTACCATTAGTTCTATCATATGTCCGGTTCATATAAAACCATGCATATCAAATGCCATACATATATTCTCTGCTATTAATTTAAGCCCGTCGTACTAGAAATAATATTGTATCGTGGCCTATCATAATATTAAGCACATCATACCGTGGTCCATAATATTGTATTGCCGGTAATATGGTTGCAGAAATAATATGTTCGGCAGCAAGCCCAGCATAATATGCTACCACCACGGTTATGATGGGCTTAAATTAATAGCAGAGAACATATTTATGGCATTTGATATACATGGTTTTATGTGGACCGAAAATATAATAGAACTAATGGTAGTATATGCGCGCTCATATTGGTTGTTGGGCGACCCTTTATCGCCTAAATATATGGTCGTGAATTATATGACCGTGCGTGATTGGACGCGCATTGCCAAAAAGGGCAAGAAGCATATTATCGACCAATCGTGCGCGGTCAATAATATGTTCGTGCATTTATGCTCTGGCGTTGCAGTTTATGATCGCTGATGTAATTGCCCGCGCGCTCATTGGTCGCGCATTGGGCCGAAAATGACCGCGCATCTACTGTTGTGCGAACGAGGAATTTCGGGGGTATGAACCCTTGTAGGGTTATGTGCCAGGGAAAAAAAACACCTCGAAAATGCCCTGGCATGGCCACTCGAGCAATTATCACGGAATTGGATGGCCACTCGAGCAATTCGGGGACACGTGGGCAAGAGCGAATCACCAAACAAGGCACTGGAGCAATTCTCTCCCAGAATCGATGAGGGGGTACTTGTGGCAGCACCGATTCTCATCAAAACCAGTTCTGTACAGAACACGGTAATGCTGATTTCACAACGCAAATTTGCTACACCCTCATTCTCGACGTTCTGACAATCGGGAGCCCTGGCTACAGTTCGTACGTGTGCTTGGACCCTAGCAGGGCTGATGTTTCAAATTAGGCCTCCCTGAATCCTATAAAAAAAAGGGGAAAATATGTCAATGGTAACTTACATGTGTTAGAATATATCTGTAACTGCCTGTAGCTGTAGTTAGTGTAGTTATTATAAACTTTGTTAGGTGGTGCACCTTCTTTGTTCATTTTGCTATATGTTGTTGCAAACCTATAGTGAAGTCATTCATTCTCCTCTCTCGACCCTCTCGACTTGGCACAACCACCTCGACTCCCATGGCCTAGGCTTCTAAGTCTAGGCCCTTAACCTAAACTTTGCCTACTATCATTTGACATGGTATTCAGAGCAGGAACCTTCCTGCTGCCTTCCTTAACGGGCCCACCATTTTGTTTCCGCTACATGTCGTCCTGCCGCGCGCCTAGGGCGCGCGGCGATTTTCTGACCGCCGTGTGCTCGGGGCGCACGGCGGTTTTCTGCCCGCCGTGCGCCCCGGGCGCGCGGCGTCTGCCTGCCTGCCTGCCTGCCCGTCGTGCGCCCCGTGGCGCGCGACGGTGCCCTGAGCCGCCGCGGACCCGCCCCTGGTGCCCGCGACGGTGCCTTGAGCCGCCGCGGACCCGCCCCTGGCGCCCGCGACGGTGTCCTGAGCCGCCGTGGACCCGCCCCTGGCGCCCGCGACGGTGCCTTGCGCCGCCGCGGACCCGCCCCTGGCGCCCGTGACGGTGGCCTGAGCCGCCGCGGACCCGCCCCTGGCGCCCGCGACGGTGCCCTGGGCCGCTGCGGACCCGCCCCTGGCGCCCGCGACGGCGCCTCTTCATCACCAGCGCCTGCACTCGGTGCAGCCGCCCGTGCCTCACATGCGCCTGCACTCGGTGCAGCCGCCCCTACCCTACCCGCGCCTGCCCTCGGTGCAGCCGCCCCTGCCCTTCCCTGTGCGCCACCCCTCTGTGGCTGTGGGGCGGCTTCTTCCCCGCCACCCCCCCCCCCCCCCCCTCCTCCTTCTTCTTCTTGCTGCGCGTGCAGCCGTGGGGGGGAGGGTATGGAGGTGGCGGGTATGGGGGTGATGGGTGGTATGGTCCCTTCCCCTCCTCCTCCTTTCGTTCCCACTGCTGCAGCTGCCGCTGGGGGGAGGGTGTGAGGGTGTGGGGGAGCCAGGGGAGTGGCATTGGGGTGGCGGGTGTGAGACATCCAGCCCCCGTCCCTCTGAGGTGGGGGGGGGGGGGGGGAGGAGAGTAAAGGGGTGGCAGGAGTGCCTGCCCCCCCTTTGCTGCTGTACCTGCTTTGTAACCTTGCCTGTTGCCTGCTGTTGCTGTTTTCTCAGTTCGTGGTGTACCCATCCAGGTTGTATCGCTGCACAGACTCCTGCTTCTGGCAGTTATGGGGGAGTGTTAGAATATATTTGTAACTGCCTGTAGCTGTAGTTAGTGTAGTTATTATAAACTTTGTTAGGTGGTGCACCTTCTTTGTTCATTTTGCTATATGTTGTTGCAAACCTATAGTGAAGTCATTCATTCTCCTCTCTCGACCCTCTCGACTTGGCACAACCACCTCGACTCCCATGGCCTAGGCTTCTAAGTCTAGGCCCTTAACCTAAACTTTGCCTACTATCATTTGACAACATGGGGCAGTATAACGCGTACGGTAACGATTTCAACGCGTTTGGTAACTCGCTTAACGCGTTTGGTAACTCGCTTAACACGTTTGGTAACTCGCTTAACGCGTATGGTAACTATACACTAGCAGCCCATCACGCGAATGGTAACTATATATAAACTTTGAAACTTCTTGGTCCGTGGTATTAGACTAAACAGGATCCTTCAAAGTCGCGGCGGAACTTGTTCAAAAAAGATAAAACTGTGCGTAAAGGCTTTCAAACTCGATAAATTCCTCAATTTCTGGATCCTTTCGGCGTGAGTTTCATGTAGTTACCATTTGTCAGATATATATGCCTTAGCCTATGTAGGCTGTAGTGGGGTAGACACTAAGGGGTACAGCTTTCATATTTGTATCTCACACTTCCTAGTTCAATTCATCCCTGCTGTTCATTCTCACATGGTATAGAGCGGGTTCCCACATGGGACCGTTCCTTCCTAAGGGCCCACCATTTTTTTTTTAGCTGCCCGACGCCCTGCCCTAATTTTTTTTTTTCGCGGCCCCTACGTGGCCCCTCTGTCGCCTAGCGCGCCCCTACGCGGCCCCTACACGGCCCCTAGCGCGCCCCTACCCGGCCACTACGCGGCCCTTACGCGGCCCCTAGCGCGCGCCCCCTACCCGTCCCTGACGCGGCCCCTACGCGGCCCCTGACGCGGCCCCTACGCGGCCCCTGACGCGGCCCCTACGCGGCCCCTGACGCGGCCCCTACGCGGCCCTTGCCGCGGCCCCTACGCGGCCCCTACGCGGCCCCTGACGCGGCCCTTACGCGGCCCCTGACGCGGCCCCTACGCGGCCCCTGACGCGGCCCCTACGCGGCCCCTGACGCGGCCCTTACGCGGCCCCTGACGCGGCCCCTACGCGGCCCCTACGCCACCCCTGCCGCGGCCCGACCCAGCCCCGTCCCTGACGCGGCCTCTCCGCGGCCCCTGACGCGGCCCCTACGCGGCCCCTAACGCGGCCCCTGACGCGGCCCCTACGCGGCCCCTACGCGGCCCCTGATGCGGCCCCTACGCGGCCCCTGATGCGGCCCCTGACGCGGCCCCTACGCCACCCCTGACGCGGCCCCTACGCCGCCCCTACGCGGCCCGGCCCGGCCCCGTCCCTGACGCGGCACCTACGCGGCCCCTCCGCCGCCCCTACGCGGCCCCTACGCCGCCCCTAAAAGAGCCTCCGTCCCGGACCTGCCTTGGCCCCGGCCCCGACCCTGTCCCAGCCCTACCTCGGCCCCGTCCCGGACCTGCCCCGGCCCCGACCCCGTCCCGGACCTGCCCCGGCCCCGACCCTGTCCCGGCCCCGTTGCTGCCCTGTCCCGGACCCTGCTCGGCCCCGACCCTGTCCCGGACCTGCCCCGGCCCCGACCCTGTCCCGGCCCCGTTTCTGCCCCGTCCAGGACCCTGCTCGGCACCGACCCTGTCCCGGCCCTGTCACGGCCCCGACCCAGTCCCGGACCTGTCGTTCCGCCCCTGGTAAGAGCCTAGCCGGGCCGAGCCTCGCGGCCAAGCCGCACTGCCTTGCTAATTGCCCTGCCGAGTCGCACTGTCCTGCCTCGCTCAGTTGCACTGCTGCTGCTGCTAGTCTGCTGCTGCTCCTAGCATGGCTAGTCCTAGTCTTCTCACCTTTGATGCTGAGGGCCGAGCGGTTGACTTTGATGTCTGGCTAGATGATCTGCAGCTTTTCCTTCAGTGCGATAGCAAGGATGGTCTCTCCCTGTTTGATCTTACGTCGGGTGCCTCTACTGCCCCTGCTGCTGATGCTGACAGTACAGTTCGCTCGCAGTGGCTCACGCGCGATGCTGCTGCCCACCTTGCTGTG